CTTTTTTTTTTTTTTTTTTAGTTGAGAGAGGGATTTTTGCTTTAGGGCCAGAGAGGCCGAAAGCAAGAAAACACCCATGCAAGGGGGGATGACCATACTGCGATATCTTCTCTCAGAATTTTGAGTTTTAAGTCGCTGGGTATGGGATTCAAGCCATAGTTGACTACATGGGAGTCCAGTGACGTAACCATTATGCCATCTGTGCGTCCTGATAAACTTTATCTTTTAAGCAGCTTGATTGGATGTGCCTTATTTGCTCTAGGAATGCCATTTAGGACAGCATTTTTAATATTGTATAAATAATTCCTTAAAACAACTAATTCACAAAGTTTATTACCAAGACATAGGAGAGTAGAAAACACCTTATTACAGAATTAAAATGCTGTCCATAAGTTCCATTATCGTCTTCTAAAGATTCTCAGATTTTAGGACCTGGCGGTTTGAAACTCATGCCTGGCATTGTGCATGCGTGCCCGAAATCCTGAGAGGAGAATGGAAGAGAAGGGATTATGGGATTGTGATGTTGCTATTGCCCCAGGGAGTGGTTTCCTGCTTTCTATCTCTGTTTCTCTGGGGAGCACATACACCCTATAGAAAAAATCCCTCTCCAAAAAGAAAGACACTCAGACTCCTTGATTTCTGTGATAGGATACACTGTCTCTAAGATGGTCACTAGTCCTTGTACTTTGAGATACTCTAAAGGTTCACAGTTCTGTTGCTACTTTATACAACATTTTTTTCCCATATGGTTTTTAAGTACGATTTCACTCCTTCAGAAAAACAACTCCTTGTATGGGATATATGGTATTCATCTGTCTGTATTTACCTGATTTTTGAGGAATGAACAGCTTATCTTCCTACCTCTTTGCTACTTCTCAAATACCCACATGTGTATCATTTCCACTCTTAGTCAGCTTTCGTAACTGTCAGTCAAAATATTTTTATGGACACATTTCAGTAAGCTCAACCACATTCTTCTAGAATTACTCTGTACAATATATAGCAACCACTAGCCCCCAGTGGCTGCTTCAAATTAAAATGTGCTATAATTATAACACACAAACTGGATTTTAAAGGCTTGATGTGAGAAGAAAATGTAAAATATCTCAGTAATTTTTTTTTTACTTTTTTTATTTTTTAAATTTAAATTTATTTGCATTCATTCACTATACATCATTTTCATTTCTTGTTTCCTGTATATTTCCTTTTTTAATTTTTTTTGCCATCCTTGATTCCCTATCTCTCCCCCTCTGCCATGCCCCACCCTCCTCCCACACTGCCTCTGGTATCCATGGTTGCTTTCTATGCCTTCTCCCCCTCCCCCCATTTTATTGATTTGCTAATGAACTTAATTAATCTAAATATTTCCAATAGCAAGCATAGCCAATATATACATATCCATGAACACAAGTTTGACTGCTTGAAATTCTTAAAAAAGTACATATTTGATAACTGCAGTAAGCTGTATAGCCCCAGCTAAGTGCTACTTTATAGTATGTTCTTTCTACTCACTGAGGGTTTTGTTTTGTTTTGTTTTGTTTTGTTTTACTTTGATTACCTGTTTAAAAACATTTTTTTGGAGAGAGGCCAGTGGGTGGCATGGTGGTTAAGATGCTGGACTCCCACCTGGCCAACTGCAGTTTGGTTCCCAGACCTGGTGGCTTAAAAATCATGTCAGGCGTGTGTGCACGTGTTCCTAAAATCCTGAGAAGAGAATTTGGAGGAGAAAGGATTGTGGTATGGCCAGCCCACAGGGGTGAGGAGTGATTTCTTACTTTCCTTCTCACTGTCTGTCTCCAGTGAGCACATAAGTCCTATGGCAAAAACCTTAAAAAAAGAAAAGAAAAAATTATTTTGGAATTGCTGGGTAACATAAAATACATTATTAAAATGAATTTCACCAGTTTCTTTTTACTTTTTTTTTTTAATATGGTTTCTAGAAAATTTTAAATTACATGTGTGGCTCACATTGTATTTCTACTAGACAGCGCTGCCCTAGAATAATATAAAACTAATCATTATGCAGGCAGCCAAATCCCTGTCTTTGTATAATATATAGTTCTATTCCAGACTTTGCTCCCCAAGATTGCTTGGTCTACACTACACATAGCTGCTAGCTTGCCATGTGGCATGGCAGCGCCTGTGTGTGCTTTGGGAGCAGACATCACGCTTCATGTGAACACAGTATCATCACAGCGTCATACCTAGTACCACTCAGGAAGAAAAAGGTTGAGCCTATACTTGAATGAAACCGTTGCCTTTGCTGTAGGGTGTTGTATTCAGCATTTTTTTTTAAAATAGTACTTTTAACATTATAAGGATTATCTTACTTTACGGATATCATGCAATGGACTTTCTAAATGAATGTTACGTACAAAATAAAAGTTAGTGAGGAAGACCTGTTTTGCTGCAGTGAACACTGTTATGGTTTCACTGCTCTAACTGGTAACACTGTATATTATGCATGAATATTAGAATAAGAAACATATTTCACGGATTCTCCTGTTTTATTACAGTTGGAAGTACAGTTAACATATAATCTACATGAGAGTTATGACATGATGCTATACTTGTTTTATTGCAAATTTTAAGGTGTATGCAAAAGATGCCAACTCCCGCTTAAACTGAGATAAATCAAGACAGAGTATGTATTAATCTTGTGTAATTTAGTAAAAGTGTTATATGTGACATACTTTGAAACATTGTGTAAGTCTAAAGCAACCGCTTTCTTGATGTCAAATCAAGGCGTACAACGATTATGTAAAATGATCATCCCCATGTTCTGAAGTTCTTAGGGTTTGTGGTTTACATACACAGGCAGTCCTCTTCCTATCTTATGTACCTGTTTCTAACTAATCTTCTGTCACTTGATAGTATTGTTCAGCATTTACTATAGACCTGATTTCTTTCCATTTAAAAAAAAATCCCCCCAAGTTTATTTCTTCTACGAGAGAGATAGAAGCATCACCAGTAGAGTCTCCATACCAGGATCCACCCCCATCTCCAGCCAGCCAGGATGAAGGCGTGTGCTTATGTGTTCCCAGTATGCACAGGGAGACTTGGAACGTGAACCTGGGTCTGTCCATTGTGGAGCATTGTTGTGGATATCAGTTTTTTAGTAGAAAGCATTCTAAAAAACAAAAATAAAAAAACTTCCAGATTGTTGAGTTGAATATTAAAAATTCTCAAAATGACATATTTCTTATTTCAAATGATCAGCAATTAGAATATAATTACATTTGTCATAAGTATGGCAGCTAAGCAATGAAACATTTGATCATTAGAGAACATTTTATCTTTAATTTTAGGAAACCAGAATTCGGGCAATGGATAAGGATGCCAAGAAAAGATTTCATATTTTTTCTATTATCAACCCTGTTGGTGGACAAGCTGTGACTCAGATTTTTGCAGCTGACAGTAGAGAAGATCTTCAGACGTGGATGGAAGCCTTCTGGCAGCATTTCTTTGATCTTAGTAAGCAGATATTTGAATTTTCTAGTGGTGTATTTATGTAGCCCGAAAGGATGCACACAGCAATCTAAAGGTATTAAAATTATAATCTTGAGTCGGTTCTGTGGCCTGGTGGTTAAGGCAGCCTGCGCGTGGCTGACTGTGCAGTTGGAATCCGAGACCAGGCGGCTTAAGAAACATGTCTGTCTGCCTAAAATCCCCACAAGGAGGAAGAGATGGAGAAGGGAGTGCAGGTTGACCATTCCCCATGGAGGATTCTTACTCCCCTCCCTCAATGTCTGTTTCTCTGGTGAGCACATGCACCCTCTAGCAAAACAAAAAAATAATAATTTGTAGCAGGAAATTTTTTTATGCTCTTGAAAAAAAAAATGGTGATCTCTCATCAGTGCACTAATGCTTTTTTCTTTCACTTTCTCTCCCATGCCTGCCTTACTGTCATACGGTATACCTTGAATTTTTACCTTCCCTATCTCATACTTGTAAGTTAATTTGTTCCTTAAAACAACTGGGTCCCATTTTCTCAAAATATTCATCTTTAACTGCTTAAAGCTATGTGTTTATCCAAGGGATAAAGAAGTCATTTGTGGAGCAAAAACTTCTCCAGGATAATGATAATCTTAAACTACTGAAATGTTCAGAAGGAGCCTCATTTTTAATGTAACCTTCTGTTAACTCCAGAGTCATTATAATATCATCTTGGACATCATCCGGAAATTTCTTTTTTTTTTAAGCCACCATATGGTTTTTCCATCTCAGTAACACAGTCTTATGTCATGGATTATAAAAAACTGTGATAGTAATATAATCGGGTTTTAGTGCATAAAATAGATGAGGTTCTAATATTTAATTTTCACTTTAAGGAGGAATTTTTATCAACAGGAGAGTATTGAAATTGTAGCAGTACATGGTCTTTACTGGCAGTAAACTTAACTGTATGTGTATTACCTACAATATTATACTGAAAATGTAGAATGTTGATGATGCCTCTTTCTGATCAAAGTGAGCATACCGTTTGAGTCAACCAGTATTTGTCTGGAGTACGCTATTCGACATAATTGCAAAGTACTTTAGAGCAGTTTCCAAACAATGGAAAGTTATTTCTGCACTTGTGTATATAATTCTAGAGACATTTTAGGAATTGTTGTTTTCTGAAACACTAAAAAGAGCTGACACAGTCCTTGGGTTAATTTTTGTAATCCTGTTCTGTTCCGTGGTCTGAATGAGCATCATAGGAGGCAAGAATAGAAAGTAAATTTATTAATTACCTCTCCTGTACAGGTGGCTTCATTTATTTCTCATAATAACCCTGTAAAGTAGTTATTTCTGCAGTAAAGATGAGAAAACTGAGGCCTAAAGAGGTGTCTGGTCTGCAGCATTGAGTTAGAGGAGTCCCTCCATAACCTTCTTGGGTTTTTTAGTCTTTGTTTTCTTAGGTACCATGCCTAGGCAGTAAATATGTGGAGTCTTCATAAAGTTTATGGAAAATGCTTTTTTTTTTTTTTTTTTTTTTTTTTTTTTTTTGGAGGTTTTTGCTATAGGGGCGAGGCCCCCCACTCGCTAGAAAGAGAGAGACAGAAAGTGAGAAATCACCCTTCAGGGGGGATGGCCACGCTGCAACCTCTTCTCCTCCATTCTCCTCTTGGGATCTTGGACACACACACCGACACACCCAGTGTGAGTTTAAGCCACCGGGTATGGGACTCAAACCGCAGTTGACTATGTGGGAGTCCAGCAGCGTAGCCATTACACCATCTGCTGGTCCTGGAAAATGCATATTATGAGAAAGCTATTCATGGATTTCAGAAATTTTGTACCAAAATAAACTTGTATTTTAATTTCATTTTTCCCTATGCTTTTTCCAATCACCTCATTTTTGTCCCATGTGTCTACCAGCATGTCCACTTCTTTAGTTTAAATTTTCAGTAGACTGGAGATGTGCATTTTAAAAGACAACAACTTCCTTTCTTTTTCTGATCATAACAAAAGTTTCACTGGTTTGCTAATGTTCTGGTTTAAAATATCTCTTACAAAAGAATCTATTTTTTCATAAATATTTCTGATATCTTATCATTCTTATGTGCATGAAAATAGGAAGGAGATATAAATGAATATAATACCAGAATATTTTAGTCTATTATTACTATTAGATGATAACCATATGTTTTTATTCTATATTTATGCAGAATAATTTATCATGCTAAAGTGGGGCGTTGGAAGGTTCACAATCTCATGAAATTTCTGTACTCTCTAAGTAGTAATGAAGTGATGACAACTTGGTTCACAGGTCTGACTTTTGGTATTTAATGTTTTTTTAGATAATTGCCGATCAATAGGTTTGTTTGTTTGCTTGTTTTTTTAATATTTTGCCGAGTCTGTGCGTACTCATTGGAGGGAGAGAGAGAATGTAAGAAAGTACCCCGGTGGGATATGAGCATGCAAACACGCCCAGGGTGTTTTTCAAGTTGCCAGTTCCAGATTCAAACGACCACTTTAACGACCATTCATTTTGTTTTAGGTTTTAGCCATAAAGTATGTGCACTCACTGGAGAGAGACAGAGAGGAACAGTGATTAATCAACCCCCAGCAGTGATGGCCAACCGCAATCCCTACTACTCCATTCTTTCAGGATTTTGAGCACACACATACATGTGCCTGACCTGATTTTGAAGTAATGGGTCCAGTATTCAAACCGTGGTTGACCATGTAGAAGTCCAGCATCTTAATGACCATGCTGGCCCCTGTACTTTAAATTTTTACCTCTCTAGGTATGACCTCTAATGATCTTGGTGGAAGTATGGTATCTATAATAAAGTAAAGGGTAGATATCTAGAGCAGAATAAGACTAATTTAATATTTAGAACAAATTTTAATTTTTCGGCCCCACTTTGGAATGGAAAGCAGGGCCAGCCAGGTGGTTTGATGGTAACGTGACTGAATCCAACATGACTAACTGCATCCTTTTGAGTCCTGGATCTGGCAGTTTGGAAAACATGCCAAGGGTGTCTGTGTGCATGCCCAAAATCCCAAGAGAAGAAATAGAGAAGGGATTGTGGCTTGGTCATTCCCTCTTGGGGAGCCTTGAGGGGGTGAGGAGGTTCTCTCTTTCTCTCCCTCTTCCTTCTCTCTCCCCTCTCTTCCTCTGTCTCATGCGCGCGCGCGCGCGCACACACACACACACACACACCACCAGAATGAAATGAAATACTGGTGAGAGAATGAGATTAGAATTTATGAGGAAACATTGATAAAAGTAGATCTTTTAGTCTGGAGAAGAATATAGCATGGGGGTGGGTGGAGGTTAGGAGGCAAGGGATGTGTAATAGCGGGTTTTCTTTTGTTTTATTTATTTATTTACTTATTTATTTTGTGAGGTTTTTTGCTATAAGGCGTGTGCACTTGCCAGAAAGACAGACAGACAGGGGGATGGCCACACCCCAATCCTTTTCCTCCATTCTCCTCTTGGGATCTTGGGCATGCATGCCCGGCGTGAGTTTAAGCCACCAGGTTCAGGACTCAAACCACAGTCGACTACATGGGAGTCCAGCAACATAGCCATTATGCTAACTGCTGGTCCCTTGTAATAGCTGTTTTTAATATTTGAGAGCTGGGCAAGCTTCATGGTCAGATAGTTAAGGCAGCCAGATCCCATGTGGCTGGCCACTGGTTCAAGTCCTGGACCTGAAAGCTTGAGAACTATGCTTTGTACATGTACAATTGTGCCCAAAGTCTTGAAAGGAGGGAGAGATAGAGGAGAAGGGTTCATGGCATGACCATGTCCTATGGGGGTACTTTCTCTTCTCCCTTTCTCTCTGTCTCTCTGATTTTCTCTGGCAAGCACATGCACCCTTTAGCCAAAACAAAAAATTAAAATGTGTGTGTGTATATTCATGTGTGTATAAATAAATATATATATATATATAGAGCTAACAAGCACATAAAAGAGGAATGATACTTGTTCCATATAGTTGATAGATATGGAGCCAGGAATGGTGGGTCAGAAATTCTAAGTATTAAAAACAGATTTGAAATTCTAAATTTTTCCCAAATATAAATAATATAAATATCGGGAACCAGCAGTTAGCGTAATGGCTATGTCACTGGACTCCCACGTAGTCGACCGCGATTCGCGTCCGGACCTGGTGGCTTAAAACTCACGCCGGGCCCATGTGCATGCATGCCCAAGATCCCGAGAGGAGAATGGAGGAGAAGGGATTGTGGCGTGACCATCCCCCCTGGGGGGTGATTTCTCGCTTTCTGCCTCTCTGTCTCTCCCTGTCTGTCTGGTGAGTGCACGTGCCCTATAGCAAAAAAAAAAAAAAAAAAAAAAATTGAGTTACATCAACACCTTAGCATGATAGGTCATTTTGATTAGAAACATTTTAACAGTAAATAGTGTGTGGGAAACATCATCAATATATACATTGTTATATGAACAAAACTGGTATTTCATACTGGGCCTTTGTTTTCATGTTAGCATATTGGCTATCATGTACACCTGTGCATTCAGATTTACTCACTGGCAGAATAAATGTTTGGTTGTAAAGTCTTCAACAGTGAACAACATAGTTGTACCTCTGACTGCAGTAACACATGGAAAATTGTAGCATTATGTTCCAGTTTCCAACATCATTAGGATTTTGCTACTCGTCTAATAATGAAATGCTTTCATCTATCCAGATAGAGAAAATACTGTACTTTATAAGAATCTGTCTGAAAATGTCAGAGAAATGTTTACCAGTTTAAAGGATTTCATTGTTTTTCCATTACATAAGGGCCTTTTTTTTTCCTGCCCTCAAGAGGAAAAACTGGGTTTATATATTTTTATCTTAAAAAGGAAGCAAAAAACTAAAATAAAAAAAGGAAGCAGAGGGGAGCATGGTTATTAGAGCAGAATCTACTAGATTTGAACTCTAGAAAGCAGCCTTTGAAGACTTGTACTCAGGAATTGATTCCCTCTCTGAGGTGCTAAGTGGATGATTTTGAAATTTGACCATACTCTGTCCTTAGCATCATAGTAAAACATAATAAAAGGTGTTTTTTTTTTCAATGTTTCTAACTATTTAAGGTACTAGATTTAAAATGTACGTATGTATTACTATGACAGTTTGACTAGAAAAAAACAAAATTCAATACCTAATTTGACTAGGCATGAAGCATATTTAATTTTTCAGCCATGAAAAACAACCAAGTTGGATGCTGAATGTGGATATTGAGATCATAATAAAAAGAAGAGAAATGTAGATTATATATCAATCTTAAACCATACATAGGCATATTACATTTACTTTCTACTGGTTTAAGATAGGACTTAAAAATTGTGCATTTCAATAACAATTTTATTATATTAATGCAGGTTTGATTATTCCATATCCAAAATGCTTGGGGCCAGAAGTGTTCTGGATTTTTTTTTCTTCAGATTTTGGAATATTTGCATATACATAATGAGGTATCATGGGAATGGCACCCAAATTTAAGTATGAAATTCATCTATGTTTTATATATACCTTATACATATAACCTGAAGGTAATTCTATATAATATTTGTGTATTACATTATGACTGCAACTTATCCCATGAAACCAGGTGTATAATTTTCTACATGCGAGAGTCATGTCTATGCTTAAAACCTCTCAGATTTGGGGCATTTCTGAATAGGAGTGCTCAACCTCTATATAGACATATAGTATCTGGTACAGATACTATTTTTCATACAGGTGCACAAAGATTAAATTTTTTGATATCCCTTGGGACAAATAAACATGAAAAATTCATTTTAAGATGAAAATAGAAAAATGGAATTGAAAGAAAAATTAATAATATCTATTCTTTTAACTTTATTTAATAATTGAAACAGATTATTCAAGAATTTTTTTTCTTATTCCAGATGCTTAATGGTTTTATTTAAAATGTCCTTTCTCAGGACCAGCAGAAGACATAATAGTTATGTCACTAGATTCCCACACAGTTGACTGCGGTTTGAGTCCGGACCCAGCGGCTTAAAACTCATACTGGGTGTATGTGCTTGTGTGTTTAAAATCCCAAGAGGAGATTAGAGGAAAAGGGATTGCAGTATGGCCATCCTCGAGGGTGGGGGTGGGGGGGTGATTTCTCACTTTCTGTCTCTCACTCTCTGTCTGTCTCTGTCTCTCTGGCGAGTGTACACTCTCTAGAACAAAACTCACTCTCTCAAGAAAAAGTCCTTTTTTTTTTGGAGAGATTTTTCACTATAGGGCGCGTGTGCTAGCCAGACAGACAGAGACAGAGAGTGAGAAATCACCCCCCAGGGGGGATGGCCACCTTGCAATCCCTTCTCCTTCATTCTCCTCTCGGGATCTTGGGCACGCATGCACACGCGCCCTGCGTGACTTTTAAGCCACCGGTCCGGACACGAATCACATTCGACCACGTGGGAGTCCAGCGACATAGCCATTACGCTAACTGCTGGTCCCAAGAAAAAAGTCCTTTCTAAAGTAAATTAGATGCAGAATTTTATTGTGTAATATATCTATATAACAATAGGCTTTTATATACTCTTTACTTAAATGAAAATACAGTGCCCAGAGTTAAAATGATTTTTAAAAACATAATAGTCATCTTTTAAAAGATAGTTTGTTGGATAAACAATTCTTATTCTTTAATTACAAATTTCAAATTTAGGTCTGTTCTCATAGTGTACTTGGTAGCATACTGAACTCTACAGTGCTGGAAGCCACACGGCTCACTGTGGGTTTGGATTCCCGGCCCAGTTGACTCGAACACATAAGTGCTTGCATGTGTGCCCGAGATCCCGACGAGCTGAAGGGCATCGGGGAGGGGATTGCAGTATGATAAGACCCTATCAAGTACACAAGGATGATTTCTTCCTGACTCTTTCTCAGAGAGTACCTGCATGTAAACACAATATTGTGAATAAAATGAATACACTTAATTTTATTTTCAAATTTAAAACCATTATAGTGAACCACCACTCCTCGTATTTCTTTGTAAGTAACTATATTTGTGCTGATTTTTACTTTTCAACTCTCTTGAATACTAAATGTTTTAATTTAATATTTAAAAGAAAAGAACCTGTGTAAACTTCTACCATGAATAGAACTTTAAACATAGTTGTAGATCATTTAGAGAAATAGTACACTGTTTAATAGCCTAGAGATTGTAGCTTAATAACTATACATAGTACTTTACTTTTTAAATAGATTACTTTTATGTCCAGAATTGGACTCTAAAATTATGAGTAGTACTAGGTTTTTGTACAAGCTTCCCTCCGGCAATGTTTTATTTATAAATTCACTGTTACTTTTCAGAGCAAGAAATGTGCTGATACCTATTAAAAATGAAATACATATCTTCCCACTTATGTTTTACGTTTTAAACTAGCCTGCCTTTTCCTGTCTGTCTTAGGCCAGTGGAAGCATTGTTGTGAAGAACTTATGAAAATTGAGATTATGTCACCACGGAAACCACCTTTGTTCTTGACAAAAGAGGCGACCTCAGTCTACCATGATATGAGTAAGGAAGATTTGTCTTTTCTAAGCTGCAGAGTAACAAAAACAACATTGCCCATACTCAATGTTCTGTTGACATTAAGATGCTATAATTTTCAAGACACAATTAAAATGAATGGAAAAAAGGGCTATCATTATAGATGAAGGAACTTATGTTTATTAAATGAATTAATACAAAATTAATGAATACACATTTTTCATATTACAAATCCGTAAGATCCAACAAAAAAAACGTAAGGCTTAAAATGAATAAAGGTGCACTGAAAATAAGTACTAGCTGAGCAAGCTGATAAAAACCCTAAAAATATAAACTTGCAAATTCTAAAATAAAATTGTGTTTAATAATATTTTCTGCATTTTATTAAATTTACTTTTAGGTAGAGTTGATAGATGAATATTAATGAATGGAAGCTTTCATCTCTGGCCAAAAAAAAAATTATTTTTGGTTAAATGTAATACTTTGGAAAATTTAGAATTTTGAGGCTCATTAATGTTTCCCCACACTTTGATGGGTGTTTATCCCAGCAGGATTGCCTCAGTGAACAGTGTTGTGAACAAGCACACATCAACGCTAAGCTCTAATCTAATTTTCCACTAATGTACCTGCACTTTTATATACCGTAGAACGTTAGGTTAAAAATGATACATTTGGGTTTATACATTTGAAAACACCAGTAATTCATTTAATAGACACTAATCTTTGATCTCTTATTTTCTTTCAAAGAATTTTTCCCAGCACTGTTATCCCCAGAGTGATAGGAGGGTTTCACTCTTATTTGCCTGACTTTTGGGTTTGGACTTTTTTCCCTTTGTAACAGAGACTTCGCTGTCTATAGGAAAGAAAAATGATGTAGTTACAGTCGCCCCAGTGAATTCACTCTTACCTAGAAGTTAGAATAAGGTTTTGTTTTTTATATAAAAGAATTATTTTATTTAACTTTATTTATTATTATCATCATTATTATTTTCCAGTTTGAACAGGAGAGACAGAGAAAGAGAAAGGAAGCGAGAAAGCAAGCCACCAGGTCTGAGACTTGAACCATGGTTGGCCGTGTGGGAGTCCAGTGCCTTTAACCGCCATGCCACTTGCTGGCCCCAAGGTTGTTTTTTTATTTTTATTTAATTTTTTTTTAACTTTGGAGAAGTTTTGGCTATAGGGTACGTGTGCTTGCCAGACAGACAGAGACAGAGAGACAGAAAGCGAGAAATCACCCCCCAGGGGGGATGGCAACACCACAATCCCTTCTCCATTCTTTTCTTGGGATCTTGGGCACGCACACACATGTGCCCCACGTGAGTTTAAGCCACTGGGTCCGGGACTCAAACCGTGGTCGACTACGTGGGAGTCCAGCGACATAGCCATTACGCTAACTGCTGGTCCTCCCAAGGTTGTTTTTTTAAAGGAGGAACAACTATATATATGTTATATATATATATACGCACACACATGCACACACGCACACACACACACACATATAAAAGCCTAACTATGAAAGAATAAGGTTTTAAATTCAAGAAACATTATCTGCTAAACACTTACCATACAGAATTTATTTTTTGAGAGGTTTTAGCTATAGGGCATGTGTATTCGCTAGAAAGACAAGAGAGAAACAGAGAGATAGAAAGTGAGAAATCATCCCCCAGGGGGGATGGCCACCCCACAATCCCTTCTCCTCCATTCTCCTCTCAGGATCTTGGGCACACACTCATATGTGCCCAGCATGAGTTTAAGCCACCGGGTCCGGGACTCGAACCACGGTCAACTACATGGGAGTCCAGTAACATAGCCATAAATTATGCCAACTGCTCATTCTACCATACAGAATTTTTTAAAAATATTCATGTAATTCTACTTTTTTGAAAACTAGACTATTGATTTATTTAGGAATATACAAATATTGGGTCATTGGAAAAGTCATGACACATTTGTACATAGAAAAACAGGAAAAGTATGTCATGACTTTTCCAACAACCCTATAAATATATACTGAATATAATATATATAGCATATGGTATATGTGTCATCCACACACAAATACAAATACAACTTTTGAAGGGTCTTCAAAAGTTCATAGAAAATGCATATTATGGAAAAATATGCATGGATTCAATTTTTTTGCATCAAAATAAACTTGTACTTTAATTCCATTGTTCCATGAACTTTTTGAAGCCTCCTGTTATTTGTTCCATGTTTTTCTCAAAGACACACACACACACACACACACACACACACACACACACACTCTATTTCATGCGTGGGTATGGTGCATATATATAATATGCGTGCATAGTGCAGTGCATGATCTCCTTATTTTTGATTCTATTCCCATGGTTATTTTTATAGGTTAATATTGTATTGCTAATATTTGTCTAAGTTTTAATCATATAGCATATCACTTAATAGATACCATATTAGTTTAGAAAATAATGACTTATTCAGTTAGATAAATAATGTCTTTGAATGTTCCCATGTATTTTTTTTCCTTAAAATTATTATATAGGCATTGATTCACCTATAAAACTTGAAAGTTTAACTGACATAATACAGAAAAAAATTGAAGAGACAAACGGACAGTTCCTAATTGGTCAGCATGAAGAATCCTCACCCAATCCCTGGGCTGCACTTTTTGATGGTAGTCACCAAATGGTCGTCCAGAAAAGGGTACTGTCTCCTGCAAGCGAGCAGTCACATGATGGAAAAGGGAAGAAGAGACGGGCTCCCCTTCCTCCTACTGATAAACCTGCATTCAGCTTCCAAACGCAGAGCAACACGGATCAATCGGTTAAAGAGAACTGGGGGAAAACAAGTGTGTCTCGGGCCTCACCTTTGAGGAGAGACAGAGAAAGAGAAAGGAAGCGAGAAAGCAAGCCACCAGGTCTGAGACTTGAACCATGGTTGGCCGTGTGGGAGTCCAGTGCCTTTAACCGCCATGCCACTTGCTGGCCCCAAGGTTGTTTTTTTATTTTTATTTAATTTTTTTTTAACTTTGGAGAAGTTTTGGCTATAGGGTACGTGTGCTTGCCAGACAGACAGAGACAGAGAGACAGAAAGCGAGACATCACCCCCCAGGGGGGATGGCAACACCACAATCCCTTCTCCATTCTTTTCTTGGGATCTTGGGCACGCACACACATGTGCCCCACGTGAGTTTAAGCCACTGGGTCCGGGACTCAAACCGTGGTCGACTACGTGGGAGTCCAGCGACATAGCCATTACGCTAACTGCTGGTCCTCCCAAGGTTGTTTTTTTAAAGGAGGAACAACTATATATATGTTATATATATATATACGCACACACATGCACACACGCACACACACACACACATATAAAAGCCTAACTATGAAAGAATAAGGTTTTAAATTCAAGAAACATTATCTGCTAAACACTTACCATACAGAATTTATTTTTTGAGAGGTTTTAGCTATAGGGCATGTGTATTCGCTAGAAAGACAAGAGAGAAACAGAGAGATAGAAAGTGAGAAATCATCCCCCAGGGGGGATGGCCACCCCACAATCCCTTCTCCTCCATTCTCCTCTTGGGATCTTGGGCACGCACACACACACGCCCAGCATGAGTTTAAGCCACCGGGTCCGGGACTCGAACCACGGTCAACTACATGGGAGTCCAGTAACATAGCCATAAATTATGCCAACTGCTCATTCTACCATACAGAATTTTTTAAAAATATTCATGTAATTCTACTTTTTTGAAAACTAGACTATTGATTTATTTAGGAATATACAAATATTGGGTCATTGGAAAAGTCATGACACATTTGTACATAGAAAAACAGGAAAAGTATGTCATGACTTTTCCAACAACCCTATAAATATATACTGAATATAATATATATAGCATATGGTATATGTGTCATCCACACACAAATACAAATACAACTTTTGAAGGGTCTTCAAAAGTTCATAGAAAATGCATATTATGGAAAAATATGCATGGATTCAATTTTTTTGCATCAAAATAAACTTGTACTTTAATTCCATTGTTCCATGAACTTTTTGAAGCCTCCTGTTATTTGTTCCATGTTTTTCTCAAAGACACACACACACACACACACACACACACACACACACACTCTATTTCATGCGTGGGTATGGTGCATATATATAATATGCGTGCATAGTGCAGTGCATGATCTCCTTATTTTTGATTCTATTCCCATGGTTATTTTTATAGGTTAATATTGTATTGCTAATATTTGTCTAAGTTTTAATCATATAGCATATCACTTAATAGATACCATATTAGTTTAGAAAATAATGACTTATTCAGTTAGATAAATAATGTCTTTGAATGTTCCCATGTATTTTTTTTCCTTAAAATTATTATATAGGCATTGATTCACCTATAAAACTTGAAAGTTTAACTGACATAATACAGAAAAAAATTGAAGAGACAAACGGACAGTTCCTAATTGGTCAGCATGAAGAATCCTCACCCAATCCCTGGGCTGCACTTTTTGATGGTAGTCACCAAATGGTCGTCCAGAAAAGGGTACTGTCTCCTGCAAGCGAGCAGTCACATGATGGAAAAGGGAAGAAGAGACGGGCTCCCCTTCCTCCTACTGATAAACCTGCATTCAGCTTCCAAACGCAGAGCAACACGGATCAATCGGTTAAAGAGAACTGGGGGAAAACAAGTGTGTCTCGGGCCTCACCTTTGGATACCAAACTCTCAGCTCTAATGCATCACTTACAGAAACCAGTGGCTGTGCCACGAAAACTTCTTCCTGCCAGGAAAAATAGTTCAGCTGATGGTGAGCAGCACACAGACACAAAGCCCAGTTCTGAAGCCAAGCCAGTACCAGCTCCGAGGCAGAAATCCGTCAAAGACATTTTGGACCCTCGATCATGGCTGCAGGCACAAGTGTAGAAAACCCTTTAACAAAATCTATCATTGTGAGGCTTAATTCAGAGACATTATAGAATAAGCGTAGTAATATTCTGTGATTATGTAGGTAAATATGTGAGTGATTTATCTCAATAATTAATAAACTGTTAGGTATAGAGAAACATTTTATAATGAAGAAGTGGATTTCTCTTTTACTTCTGATTTTCAGAATATAAGTGATTTCCCCAGCAGAGTACAAGAGAGGCAGTTTCTAGACAATATCCTAATTGTTAGAAGGGTTAATTTATTCCTAAATTAGTACCAGGCAGTGAATAAGCACTAGGCAGAAGAAAGCATTAAAATTTCTTTGGGGGAGAGACTGTCTAGTAATTTAAAATGTGTTAAATGTGAGCCATATTCTCATTGTGAGAATTTTAATACTAATGGAATGTTTCAAAGGTTTTATTCAAACCACAAATTATAGAATCCACCCAAGAAAATGTTCTTCTTAGCATTCTGGAATTCTCATCTAATGGTTCACTGGCTCTCTTCTATTGTTTAACTCACTAGTTTATAGGCCTGACCTTTTAAATTCCTGGGATAAATTTTGGAATATTAAATTCTTCATCTTTAACGGGAATTTATAATGTGCTGTTCACAGTTGTTTCCTTGATGAGCCCTGAAATCCTGTTAACTCTCATAAGTGAAGCATAACATTTATTAGTTTAGAGAAATGGTAGATGAAATGTTCTTTCTATCCACTGTTGTGTGTGTGGTGCTAATTTCCTTTGTGACTTTGGAATTTGGGGAAATGAGTGACTGATTAACACCTTTAAATTTGTTTAATATTTGTTTTAAAAGCTGATGGCAGATTCAAAAATATCAGAAAAATTGGCCATGGCAATATTTTTTTTCAGAATTAATCCTTTTTGAAATTTTGATTAAACTTCCTTTTTTAAGTAAGGGTTGATGTCTGCTATTGATATTATTCATTGTAAGTCATATTCTTACAGTAATGACATTGGAATCATTTCTATAGGAGGTAATTTCCATAGCAACTAATCACAGTGACCCAAACAGGATTATGAAATCAAGTGAGGAATAAATAGCAAAAAGAAGAATACCTTAAAGGAACCACCAAAAAAAAAAAAAAAAATCCATTTTTATAAAAAGTCTTCTTGTAAACAAGAGCAGAACCGTTTAAAAAATTCTAATCAGAATTTCCAAATAAAACAGTTTCCATAAGGTGTCAGTAACAGCACTAAAAATCTCAAATCCCTCTGAACCCTAAATGTCATTGCAAGAAATAAAAATAGAATTAAATTACTGCCCTGTGTATAATCTCTAGAGATCTCTTTAAAGCTAGTAAGAACTCTATTTGGATCAGAACTACATTATTACAAAATAAAATGAACACTTTACCAAAAAGAAAAAAAAAACTAATTTCAATGAAGCCTTTCATTATGTTGAGATAGTCTTTTTTCATTTACAGAGAGCAATGTAACTGCCAGGTGACTTCTGTGTTTGCCCAGGACTCCTAGTAAGAATCACAGCTTGAGGGAGTAACCATATAGAAGGTCTCTTGTGACTTGGCGACACCAGGACAGACATAGGATTTGGTGAGAAGGACATGTTATATGGTTGCCTGATGGAATTTAGAGATAATAACATGTATGAAAACCTCAAAAAGTAAATTAATTTTTTTTCTCACTAGAGGGTTTTCAGAAATTTCTGTCGCGATTGCCTTTTCAGGAAATGATGTATTAAAAATCTAAAGGATATTATTATTTGAAATTTGTGTTTGTTTTTTTTTTAAAACCTCATCGCTATTTTTGACAGCATTCATGACTGTCGTTGCCACTAAATTATTGAGCTAGAAGATGCTGCAGGCAAAATTGTTTCTGAAACTGGCATCTAAGCATTTTTATTCCTAGTCGATGCCTTTCTTTATTACAAACCAGTGTTAAAACTTCCAAATTACATTCTTGTCATTTTCTCCTTATGTAAGCTCTATCAGGAAGGATTTAAATTGTACAGGGAAGAGAATTTATGCATGGAAAAATTTCCTAGCCTTTGTGCCCCCAGAGGGGACCAGGTCTAAAGCCCTTCTTCTAGAACCATGTGGGTGAAGCTCGATTGAGACCCACTCCCCACTCAGATGACGCAGTCTGTTTCTGGCAACCATCTTCATATGTCTTAACTTTCAGAGCCTTTGAAGTCAGCCTGGAGTCTTGAGCTCCACTCCCTTTGACCATTGTGCTCATTAAATGCTAGTTCATTCCCCCTCAAAAAGGGTTATTATAAAACAGGGTTTATTTTCTTTTTCTCTTTTTCTCTTCTCCTACCTCACTCCATCTCTCCCTCCCTTCCTCTCCTCTCTTTTCTTCCTCCCTTCGCAATTAAAAAAAAAAAAATCTAAACATATCTAGTTAAACATGTCAAGGAGTTTATCAGAAGTATTTGTTTTCTCATTTTCTGTACTGGAAGTTTATGACAAAGAAATATGTCATGTAATATGAAAGACTTCTCAGCTTTTTACGAGCTGGCTTTTCACATTCTTTGTCCTTTTAATTTGTTTCTTGATATATGAAGACTATAAACTTGAAACAAAGATTTAGCTGTCAGATCTTGATAATAATATTATAATTGGAGAAACACAATAAAAAGAATAGATACTTTATGATATGATAATTCTTATGATCTGAAGATAATGTCTTAGACAATTACATTTACATTTTTAAGATCTGGGATATAAATTACTTACAACAACATTAAGATAGTATTATTTTTAATTGCTACAAAGTGGTAAGCTTTTTATGCAAGGGCAAAAAAGACTTTTCTTATAAATGCACACCTCCTAAGGTAAACAGTCTTTCAGAGATAGCAAGCATGCCAACTCTTGCTGAGTTTTGTTAAATCCTTCTTAACTGTCTGCAGTGCCCCCTGACTTCTTTTAAATGGATGTGAATATATGTGGAGAACTAAATCCATTTATTATAAAGGTCTTATCTTTACCCTTTAGGAAACTCCTAAATGTATTTTACCTGGCTCTATTTATTAAAATTGGAAGCTGCCTTGATTTAGAGACAACTAACGTAATGTAGGTTAAACAGTCAAGTATTTCTTTAGGCTTATGTTCAGCACCTTAGTCACCCACTGGGAAGTTAATTAATTCCATCCAAAATGAAATTATAGGGCAGTTTGGTGCAATTTGTGTTAAATGCCATTTGAATGTAATCACCTGTGTTACCATGAATGAAGAGCACCGTGCTATCGATAGATCAGATCGAGACAGAATGTGCCACTGTGAGGAGAAGTGCTTTTGCAGGAACAATCTCACCCTATGGTTAGAATCGGTAACAACGCATTGTCTTTTTAAAAGCGAAATAATAAGCAATAATTAAACTTCAGCTGATGACCATTTATATTCTAGTTGTTGTCTTCACCATTAGGTCTTAAACTACAGTGTAGTTAGTAGTTCTTGCACTTGCATTTCTAAGGTATTACTATTTTTTTTTTTTGAGAGGTTTCTGCTATAGGCGTGTGCACTTTCCAGAAAGAGGGAAAGACAGAGACAGAAAGCGGGAAATCACCCCCTAGGGAGGATGGCCACCCCACAGTCCCTTCTCATCCAGGGATCTTGGGCACACACGCACATGGGCCCAGCGTGCATTTAAGCCACTAGGTCCGGGACTCGAACTGAGGTCGGCTACATGAGAGTCCAGCAACATGCCATTACGCAACTGTTGGTCCCAGTATTATATTACTCTTTTTAAGTGTTTACATATGTATGTTTTACTACCCATTGCTAATAACAGTAATATGAAAACTGTCTATTCTGAATTTTGTATATTCTTAGGTAACGCTGACAAAGATGTTACCTTTAAGGTTTAAAAAGAGGTTTCATTTAGAAATATATTAGGCATTCAGCCAGTGGCATGGTGTTTAAGGGGGCTGGATCCTACATGGCATACACTGGGTCATCTGTGTGCTTGTCCAAAATCCTGAAAGGAGAAATGGAGGATTGTGGCGTGACTACTCCCCATGAGGGGTGCTTTCTCACTTTCTCTCCAACGAGCACACATGTCCTCTGACAAATTACAAAAAGAAAATATATTAGAGTGTGTTATTTTCTGATATGCTTGTATAATTGGTATTGCTTATCATTTTAATTTTTTTTAAATTAAACGTGGGCCAAAGTTCTGTGTTACAAAGTACTGTATTATGGACTTTATTTTTTTAAGCACAATACAAAAAGTATTTGATAAGAAAGCCTAAGTCACGTGATTTAAACTTCTATGCTTTAAAAGAACTGATTCTTACGGGCATTTTCTAGCATTTTTCCCTTAGGTTCTTTCTCTAGGCTAGACTGATAGGAATAGACAGTACGGTGTAATCAGTTTCATCAGAGAAAGGCAGACCCCGTAGCTAAGTGTTCCGAGGCTAATAATCTGATAGCCTTGCTATAATTAACATTTATTAAAATGTTTGCAGATAATCCTTCTCAAAGTATACTCTTTGTAAAAATCCATTGATGTAACCTTAGTTTTAGCTTCGTGATCCAGAATTTCCCCAGAGTGTAAGACACTCTGATAATAAATTAGGTACCTAGGATATTCAGTTGCTAGTAGCCACAAGGAGACGCCTTACGCACCTCCCTCAGTGCTAATTTTATTTCCATGGAGCACCTCATGGGAGGGGGAAAGAAATGAGCAATCCTGGCTCAATTATGTTATTTCAGCATTTTATTTCTAGATCTGTAGTGTGAGCAGAAATTTTTTCACATTTCTTTTTAGAACAAACTTCTCTAAAGAAAGATGCCTACTAATCAGTACCTTAAGATTTAATTAACAATATCAACAGAAAACTATTACAGAAATATTAATTTTTTTTAAATTTGAGTTTAGGGGGAAAAAAACAATCTTGATATGTCTGATAATTAAGCAACATCATTCCAAATCCTATTGAAAAATATGTTTTGAATTACAGCAACTTGCTTTTGAGAGAGATGGTAATCTCTTAATGTAACTATTGTGTTGTCGGGAAAGTCGTGAAGCCTTGTTCCATAGAAAAATACATCAAGATCTCCCAAGCAACCTAATATATACTAAAGGAATGGTAGTTTTAAAAAACTTGTTTGGGGCAGGACCAGCAGATGATGTAATGGTTATGTCCCTGGCCTCCACATGGCTGACCGTGGTTCAAGTCCCAGACCTGGTAACTTCAAACTCACACTGGGCGCATTGTATGTGTGTGCCAAAATTCCAAGAGGAGAACGGAGGAGAAGTGATTATGGTGTGGCTGTTTGCCCAGGACATGATTTCTCTATTTCTGTCTCTCTGTCTCTCCGGCGAGTACATGCATTCTATAGAAAAAAATCTCTCTCTCCTTCTCTTTTTTTTTTTTTTTTTTTTTATAAAAAAGGAAAACAAATTTGTATAGGGACTAGCAGATGGTGTGGTGGTTAAGGCATTGGAGTCCCATGTAGCCTGGTGGCTTGAAAAACACTGGGCATGCATACATGCATGTGTGCACAAAATCCCAAGAGGAGAATGAAAGAGAAGTCATTGCACATGGCCATCTTCCCTGGGAGGATGATGTCTCACTGTCTCTCTCTCTCTCTCTCCAGCGAGCATATGCCCCATGGCAAAAACCTGAAGAAAAAAAAAATACCTGAAACTTGTATATAAATATACTATGTCATAAGCATGTTTCAGGAAAAAAATTGTTTTGTTGAAAATGGGCATTTTTCTGTGCCTTGTATCAAAATATTTCTATCTACTTAAAACAAATTTTCTTTTTTTTTTTTTTATAAATGATACA